GATCAAATTTGATCAAATTTGGCTGGTTTTTGATCAAATTTGATCAAGCTGACCATGTTGCTGTTTATTGAATTTCCTATTGATTTTTGCTTGGCTTTGAGGAAGAATTTCTATTGAAAAAGCACGCGCCCAAATCAATAGAAATTGTTGATATTTTTCAAGAATATTGATTAGGATCAATATCTGATGCCCAGGGTTTGAAGCCGGCGAAACTGGATCTCAACGGATAGCAATTGAAGGCGTCCAACTGGTCCACCAGAAGCGCCTGCCTCAGGCTCGTAGTCAGCTGGAAGAGTTCCTGTATGCCCCACGATGAAGCATCAACTTTGGCGACCTGTCTCAGGCGCTCATGGTGGCCCTCAAATCCGAGCCCTTCCACCGACAAGTAGTTCACACACCACTTCGCCGTCCGGGGAGGCTCCATTTCACCAGGACTTCCTTGCACATCGAGGCAATCTCCCGAAGGCTCCTCTCAGGATGGCCCAAAGCATTGAGGCCAACCTCCAAGACCCTGCAATCTCCTCGAGCTGGCTTCTGCATGAAATCATGAAAATCAGCACCATCAACGCGCTCGACAAAAAGCACAGACCCGCCCGGCATAGCCTGAGCCAGTTTTGCACCCTTGCTCAATGCTGCCCCAATGCTAACTTCCTGCCCATGTTTGTACTGCTCAGTTGATTCTGCTGCAAGCCACTTCAAGGTCTGTGCAGGATATCCAACGTTGGGGTCAAAGGCCTGTGGCACAACAGCGGCAGCCGGAGGAGCCCCAGCAGGCGGACCAACTCCCGCCTCTATGGGAAGCGCAGCGACGAGCCCACCTGCATGTAGCGCCCGTCTTTCCTGCTCTGCTGACTGTCTGGCCTCATCCCGGATGGAGTTCATATCATTTTGTCCCCAAGCTGGCAACCCATAGATTTCAGCGGCATTCACACCCGGGGGGTCTACATTTGCCGCAGCCCGGACTCGGATGTGACGAATGTCACTGTTTAGCAGCCCCAGCTCCTCAGCATAGACATCCCGATCCGGGGTGACTACTATGAGGTGTCGCCGGAAACATGCACTAGGGCCAAACGTTCGTGCCAAAGCCTCGGCCCTCCAATGTCGTACTCAATGAGGATGTACCTATTGAGCAAAGCCATGACGTCGATCTCGGAGCTCTGCCAACTGTCTCTGTGCCAGGTGCTGTTTGTTTGAAGGGGAGCTCAACACACCTTTGTCAACCCGTGTGGCAATGAACTGATTGTACAAATATCCCAATGTAATCGAGATCAAAAGTACTCCAACCAATGCAATGCCCAAGCCAACAAGGCACGTGTCTGCACTGTAACCCAACTGCCCTTTGGGAGCCTGCTGCCCGTCCCTCCGAAAACCCTGGCCGGTCAACAGGATTTCCGATCCCAACAGGGCTTGCATCTTGGTCGCCCCCTCCTCCTCCAGCACCCAACTCAGCCTCCCGCAAAAATTGGAGCTCAACACGCAACCCCACCAGTTCCCTCTGCAATGTCCAGTGGCTATGCTGCTGCCAGGCCAAAAGTCCAATGCAGCTCGTCTGCAACAGCAGCACAGCCCTCAAGACAAGGGGGACGTGGTAGCACATGCGGGGAGATGAGCTTTCGAACTTGAGCGTGACATATGGCGGCGTCATTTCAACGAAGCTCCACTAAGTCAAACGTGTTGAAGACTGTTATGCCTCTCGATTTCCAATGCCCTTGCACATTTGCGGACTTGGTGGTTACTTTTCTTGGCAGGTGCACGAGATGGGAGCGGTTGTATGCTTTGATGCAACTTCGCAGCAGGTTGCAGCCCTTTGGCCTTGGTGGTGGTCTTTGGCGTGTTCTGATTTCGTGGCAGGTGCAGTGTATCATGAACTTTAGACTTTAGGCATACGGTTCGTTCTTCTCAGAATTTGGGAGACATATCACGAGAAAGCTTTGTCTTCGCATCTCGAATGTGCCGTTGGATGTGCTTTTGAAAGCACTGGCAAGGCTGTGCGATATGATTCATGAAGTGCAAAGTTCGTGGCCGGTGTAGCGTTTTGTAGGCATCGAAGTGCAGTGCAGCGCAGATTTGAAACTCGAAGTGCAAAATGTGCATGTGCGCTCTCACTTGTGCGCTCTCATACCTGCGTGCTCACATGTGTGCTCGCGTGTGTGTGTGTGTGTGCGCGCTCTTATATGTGGGCTCTAATATTTGTGCTCTCGTGCGTGTGCTCTCACAATGTGTGTGTTCTCACGTGTGTGCTCTTTTATGCGTGCGCTCATATGTGTGTTCTCTCATGTGTGCGCTCATATGTGTGTGTGTGCTCACTCATACCTTTGCTCTTGTATTTGTGCTCGCATGTGTTTGCTGCTCACATGAGTGCTCTCATATTTGCACTCATGTTTTTGCTCACATATGTCTGCTGTCATGTGTGCTCTCTAGAGTGTGGAAGCTCGCATATTCACCCTTGTTTTTCTACTTAACAGTGATTGAAAGTTCTCTTGCAAGACATGTATATTTCTAGGCAACTCTCACAGACGTATGCGCTGCCACATGGTGCCAAGCAACTGGGATATTTCACGCTCGTGGCTTCCGTTCGCGCATTGCGGTCCAAACGCTGTCCAGGAGGGCAAGCACCCCCACGGCAGCCAAGGCCAAAGAAGGGAGCCTTAGAGGACAGTTCTATCTAATCATTGCACAGTTAGATAGATATCTCATCTATATATATATATATAAACAATATTCATGAAGACACCAAGTTGCCAATTACTTATATATAAATGCTTCAGTGCTCCTGTCCCGGAACATGGAAGAAAACAAAAAAACAAGATGGAACCCACGAACCCGAATGCAAACACGCTCGAAAAAACTACATATGTCCAAACGACACTCTTGTAGGACACTCTTGTGGGACACTCTTCTGGGACACTCTTGTGGGACACTCTTGTGGGACACTCTTGTAGGAAACTCTTGTGGGTCACTCTTGTAGGACACTCTTGTGGAACACTCTTACAGGACACTCTTGTGGGACACTCTTGTAGGACACCCTTGTGGGACACTCTTGTCGGACACTCTTGTGGGTCACTCTTGTAGGAAGCTCTTGCGGGGGACTGTTTCGGGACACTCTTGTGAGACACTCTTGTGGGACACGGTTGCGGGACACTCTTGTGGGACACTCTTGTGGGACACTCATACGGGACACCCTTGTGGGCCACTCTATCTGGGACACTCTTGTAGGACACACGCTTCAGGGCTGCAAGACGAGCGTTTCGTTCGAGACTTCCTCCAAAAGTCAAGCGGAAACACCCATCGGAGAACACACATCACGCAGCCCTGCCAAGCAGTTTCGCGATTCCAGCCCCTCCAAACAACACCCGCTCACACGCCAATCCCAATGTGACAGCGACATTCACCTCTACCACAACTCACAACCTCAAGATTCCCTGCGCCTGCCACGAATCTTTCCGCGTCCACACGTCTAACGCGCACAAAGTACTGCGCCTGCCACGAAATGTGACCTCCGTCACACCTCGCAACCTCACGATTCCCTGCGCGTGCCACGAAAATCGCATTGCCACACCTCAAAACCCGCACAAAGTACTGCGCCTGCCACGAAAAGTGACAATATCATCTCATGTGAGCTTCAACAAAATTTGCACCACACCACACGTTTGGAATGATTTCGACCCGTTCTGAGCACACTCCCATCCACCAAAATCGCCACTTCAGCTGAACAACAGAGCTTCGATGCCACACCCTGAAACGCAAATCCCAATGGCACGGCCACATCCAACACCCAATGGCACGGCCACATCCAACACCACAAAAACACGACTCTCCAAACGCTAATCCCAATGGAACTGCGCAGCAAGCTGCGGATCTCACAAAACGCTGCGCCTGCGCAGTGAAATCATCCTCCACACTTCAACATCTTACATTTCCACACGATTCCTCGCTATTTCACACGAATCTGACACATCACGTTTTCATCCGAAACCCTCTCCAAAAGCTTCCCCCAATGGCAGCGCCTTAGCGCTCTACTGCGGACGGTTGCGAACGGTTGCGGACGGTTGCGAACTTAGAAACAACGGGTCGTGAACAAGGCTCTACCCCCAGACCCCCAGAGTTAAACGAGAACCCTTCGCTAGCCGCTACGCATTCGGGAAAACAAAATTTGACGTTTTGCGTTATGCCTGGCATCAACCGTATGGTTTCAAACATGCAGTATAACTCATTGACATGTTGTATGACTCAGTTGTCTTGGCATGATGTACCATAGCTTGGCATGACACATGGTATACAGTGTACAGGAGGAACTTTGTCCTGGTAGGACCAACTGGTTGGGCGGTCAATGAGAGTTGTCAGTCTTGGACCCATCATGAGGCTTCACCTGAAGGAGTACAAAAGGTCCCACCTCATCAATCTGTCCCAAGAATTGGCTCCTGCACCACCAGTCATCCACCAATGCGATGGGTGAGCACACTACTCCCCAGCTGCAGAACGGATTTGTAGAGCGCCTGCAATGCTTCTCATTTAAGACCACATCCATGTGGCAACAGTGGGGGTTGGAATTTTCACTTCTTCGATGTCCGATTTCTCCACCCCAAAGATTTCCGTCAGGACACCGAGCACGTGCATCGGCCGGTGCCCAGGGCGGAGAGGACGGTGAAGCCCGACTCATTCGAAGCCTCCTGTCAAGCTAGCTGCTGGTCAAAGGGCAGGCTACAAAACACCTTTGAGTCTCTCGGTCCCTTGCTGTCCGCATCCATACTGCCAAAGTTGGGCCCTGACAGGGCTGCCTTCTGAAGGGAATTTGTTTGATGGGGATGGTCTCACTGCGGGGAACAGTCTCACGACAATCTTGCACACATCCTAGCGAAGAGTCATGAGTTTTGAAAGGAATATCATTCATATACTTAGAAGTTTTCAACTCGGTCTTCCCTTACACTGTGTGTATGAAAATAGAGGAGCTCCTTTTAAAAGGCCATAAGTGCCCATTTGCAAGATTCACCATGGAACACAAAATCAATGCGCCGTAAAGCTCAAGCACACAAGCACTTAGTTGACCATTTGAGGCCTTCTTGGTGGAGAGTTCACCTACCACCCAACTATTGATTGTGCCTGGTGAGCCCTGGCATCTGCATCATCCTCACACACTCCACGCCGACTGCAGGTTCCGGCCAGGGTCATGTAGCCTGGGCACTTCCTCAGCATGTGTCTTTTTGGTGCAACACTGTGAGTCACCATGTACAACTGCAACCAGTACACAAAGGCTGTTGCAAAGGAATTTGCTTTGAAACCCCGGCTCTCGGGTTCATTCGGGTTCTATGTGGTTCCAAGCTTCTTGCAGATCTTGCCTTCACGCACATGGTAATGACCACACAAGCTGCAATCGTCCCCTACTGCGCCAGCAAGGCACTGACATTTGTAGGACGAGGCCAAGGCCTGGAAGTGAATGAAAGCACGACCATGCTAGGAATGGTATCGCAGTGCTAGGACGGGCCCAAAGAGATCATTCGCATGAGCCTGTCTGAAACAGCGAAAGAAAGAACCTTTCTTCTTGCCTCACTGACAGGACCGTGCAAATTCAGAAATAATGCGACTCGGACCGCCTTGTGAACTAAGCTACGCGGCTACCGGTTCAATCCGTGAACGCGCCTGTTGCTTGCATACGCCCAGGCTGCAGTAGGAAACTTCAGGCTCGCAAACGCCACGCTGGAAGTACTGCACATCGGTGCCTTCGAAGTTCACAAGATCCAGCAATCCATCGCCATCCTTGCAGCAATCTTGCAGTGATATTCAACCAAGACAATTGATATTGGTTTTCTTACTGCATAAGAGCTGCCCTATAAGTCGGGGACAGAATGGATGGGTCTTTGTGGTGGACACAGGTGCCGCCCCACCACAACGATATGAAGGCTTCTTCGAGAACATAAGAGCTGACTCTCACATCCTTGCTGTCATCTACCTTAAGTTACCGGGGGGCGAGTTCTGTGGAAGGAGATTTTGCGATCTTCAACCCTGACACATGGAACTGATATGGAATTGACACGCTTGAACATGTTTACTGATCTTGCTAACATGGTGGTTCTATATCTGTGATGGTCTACGTCCATGTGCAACTGTGTTCACTAGCAAAAAAACCTTGCTCTCAAGAAGTCCCAGCAGCCCAGTCCACAAAAAAAAGAAGCACGTGCCCTGTTTCTGCGGTTTGGCCTTGTGCTGATGGACACGCCTGCGAAGGGATTTGGGGATTTCAGAGTGAATTGGCCGTCCACACCGTGCTCGTAGTAGATCAAGGCCGCATCCGGGTTTTCCAAGATCAAGTCTAGGTCTCCATCTTCCTTGGTAAGTGCTGCGCAGGTGGTAACCACGACAAACCGATGCTGCGGAACAATGATCGACAACTGACCTGAAGGTGTTGGAATGAAGACCCCTGAGCTATTACGTTTTGGCCCTCAGCAAATAGCCAGCAATCTTGCAAGTTCATGCCGACTCGGCACGAGGTAGGATGATTGGTCAATGCCTGTACCATAAATCGTTACTGCCTGTATAAGTGGGAAATGGAACATAACTACTTCAAACACTCATAGACTTCAACAAACATGTTCGGCGCTCCAAATAGGTTGGTATGCTTTGACTGGGTACCACTTGGCCGCCGCTCCCTACAGCAAGCCAATTGCTTTCTTGCACTTGGTTTTGCAAATCTGTTTACCTCTTCTTTGCGCGTAAGCCTTGTAGCTCCAATGTCCATCCCGACCAACTTGGAAGACTTCTTGCCCAAGCCTCATCCAGGTCCACAAAGCTTGGGCACAACGAGCCGATCAAATCGCTGGTCACTTCCAACACCAAGGGATTGGCCGCCCCGACCAGTTCGGTGAAGCTCGAGTTGGACTGTTCGAAGAACCGAAGGCGACTCGCCTCGAGTTGGACTGTTCGGTCATCAAGGATCACACAGGATCACATGTGGGACATGGAGACAACAGTTTCAAAGCATGTGATCAAACAATATCAAACATGTGTGTGTTTTTTACATGTGTTTACCAATTATACATCCAATTTCCCAAATCCACTCATTGCCCAAGTACTGCCGCTGCCACATACTCCTCCTTGGACACTCTGCCAGACACGAGGTCGTCCAAAGTAATGTTCCCACGCTGTTGCAGGGCTGCCACATACTCCTCGATGGACACTCTGCCAGACACGAGGTCGTCATTAGTAATGTTGCCACGCGGTTGCTCGGAAATTTCCACCAAAACAAAGTCCATGTCGCCATCCCCGTCCCAATCCACCAAAGTCCAACAATCCTTGGACTTGCGTCCCACGCCTGCTATCCCGGTTTAATAGCGTGTCTAGGACAAACATAAAGACATCTAAAACTTCTTGGCCAAGAGTGCAGGAATCCCAAGGCCCAGGAGAAATGCCCTTGAATGGGTTTTCATCGCCTTCAAGGAACACAAAGCGTCCATCCGCTTCTTGCCGTGCATACTGCAAGGGGCCACGGACAATATCCAGGTCCCCATCACCGTCCATATCTACAATCATGTGGCCTCACTGAACAATAACAATTGTCGCTACGGACGTTGCGTTCCCCCGGCAAGAACAAGGGAGTAAACATTGATGTTGAGAATGCGGAGACTGACTGGGTTTTGTTTTATATAATGCTCCGTTGAAGTTGGTGGTGGAATGGATTTGCGTAACAAGAATATACAGTCCTGCATGTTGGAAGTACGACACCTTAATCCCAGCTGTTGAATGATTCTGACAAACATGCATATGCTTGCTTTGACATGTGTCACATGCCCCACTGCCACCATCAAAAAGATATGTGAAGCAGTACCTTTGCATCACTGGAGAAGAAACGAGACCTGATAGGTAGCTGTCCAATTGTCCACATCCGTTTTGAACGCATATCTTTACGTAAATGCATGGCAACACTCCCCAAGTGTCCCAAAAAGGAAGCGCTACAGAAGCAAACTCGGTACTCTGGTGGATTGTTGGAATCAATCTTGCGACAAATAGCGTCTGCTAGCATTTGCGTGGAGCAGCATCAGTTTCGCAGCATTTCCACGAAGCAATACACTACGTGAAAGTTGTCGCGGGACCTCCTGTTCCCTCACTTTGCTGTGGAACCCCGGTTCTGCCTGTACCCTCATTTCTCTATCGAATCATTGTATTCGGAATGTAGAACATGCAATCTGTCTCTGTGTTTGACTCACAAGCACTCTGTCAAATTATGAGAACTTGCAAAACACTGTTTCAGTAATCCAAGGCTGCTCAGTGGCTGCCAAAGAGAGTCGCCCAAAGATCCCAGTCCCCTTGTGGTGCTCGGTGAAAGGGATTGTCAGTACCAAAGCGCTCCTCTAATGCCCCATTGTCCAAACGTTCGTAGTACCTGGTTGGGCGCTTCAAACTCGCCCCGCTCGTTCTGGGCGCGTGACTCGGATGTCCATGCAAACCGTTTGTGCATCCCTGCAAGGTGGTGATTCAGAGGCGCCAAGTTCAGAACCTTTAACAATGACTGCCCCAGGTGCGTACAAGGAACGGTGGCCCAGTGAACAAACTCCTTGTGAGCTTGTGATCACGCCCGTAAGACTCTTCTCACTTCTTCATCACTCATTTGGATGTGGGACAACGCTGGGCGCCCCCATATCCAAACATCAAGAAGAGAACATCCCAAAACTATTCAGAGGTTTGAGCGAAAGTCATGATGAGTGATGTCACAGCACTGTTTCTCCCCATGTATCAAACACATAGTAATCCTCCTTCACTACATGTGTGGGTTCCAGATTGAGATGCTTGGGTTTGTCTCGAAAAATCTCAATGAGCGCAAACATGTCGGGAATCCCGCCTGTAGTGAACCACTCCAAGCTGTGCCACAATATTCTGTGGCGGCACCACAAGATCCAGGTCTCCGTCGTGATCTACATCCACCAAGCTCACACGCGGCAGCGAGTGGAGCGCTGCTTCAGGGAAGCTGAGCTCTTGAAGCGGCTTCGTGTAAGCAATGAACCTCAAGAACATGGGGACGAGGGCAATACTCGTGAAGGAGAGTATCAGGTGGACTCAGCCCATGTTTTTGACCCTTGTCACCTGTAAATCTGTGTGGGCAAAAAAATCACATATGGCCGTTTCATAGGAGCATCTACAATGAATTCTCCTTGCAACCCAACAATTGCCCTCACACCTTTCAAAACTTCCTGATGGATCTGACAGGCCACTATACGTGTTTGCAAAAACAACAGGAACTAAGTAGGCCTAGAACTCTAAAAAAACTGCCCCGTGCAACATGGTCACTGGTTGGTCACCTGGCCCGGCAGAATACCCTGAAACCCACCGCCAAAGGCGATGGTCACCTGGCAAGGATTTTGTTGTGGCTCACTGCTATCTATAGTCTTTGCGATTGAGAAACTCATTCATTCCCCGGTTGTGCCACAGGTTGATCTTCTCATGCACCACAATGGCGTCCACCTCTCCATCTTCATTCCTGGCTGGACAAAACGCAAGAACTGGGCGATGCTCTGATGCATAATGAGAGAGAGAGAGAGTGAGAGTCTTATATGGCCCGGATGTCTTAACAACGAGTACCAACAGTCAGCGGGAACGCATGACCCTTGAGACCGCCACCTGCAGGGAAGGTGAGGCCAAGTCTTTGAGACGGTGGGGCCGATTTCAGCTATGGCTATGGCTCTACTTATATAAAAGAACTGACAAAGGAGTCACGGCTCTTTCTCAACATCACACCAAATGATGATGTGACTTGCGATGCAGCTCCATCCCTTGGAGACTGGCCGCCTCCCCCGGAGGAGCGTGAACGTTCGTTTACACGAACGGTGCCTGCGGGCTGCGGACTGCGGACCGCAATGCTGGGCTTGTCGGGACACTTCTTGTCTACAACTCAGTCATTACCTCTCGCGTTCTTTTTTTAGCCTTCTGAATGGTTTTTCAACTGACCGAATTATATACAGAATTACACATAAAAGTTGAAGCTTTATATAGCTTTATGCAACTTTCATTGATAGAAACAACACAAATGATTTTGTGTACACCAGAGCCAATGAAGTGATTGCCTCCCCAACACAAGGCCCGTTACGTAAAGTCAAAACATTGTCTAACACCCTGGAAATGAAATGATTAAAAAATTCTGCGCCATCATTGGCAGAAATCCCTCACCTTTTGCTCCAATACTGCTATTCCCTTCAACGAAGAGTTGAAAGACCGAGAACGAGAAGAAACTGGCCACTGGAAAATATGTAACGAGTGTGGGACACCATCAAAGATAATGATAGTTCGCAACCTAATCTCCCGCTCTGATATGCCTGAAATTTTCACTAGGGAGAGCATACCTTTTGCTCCAATCGAGTCACTGCGGACTCCAGTTGAGGAACATTTCTTACAAATTGCAATCGTCATCCATGAATCAACTGATCCATGTGAAAGGGATACTCTATGAATCTATGTGAAATGATGTGAAATGAACACCCCATGTGAAACGAACACTGTATGGGAACGGCACACTCTATGTGAACTGGGCACTCGAGGGTGGAATGACGGTTCAAGACCTTAATTTCACAAATACTTCATCAATACATATCAATACTATGAACACCTCCTTAGGTACAGTATGACAGCAGTTGTACAGTGTTTTCTCTTCACCAATATGATCAAGTACGTAGCTATTTTCTATCTATTCTACGTTTCTCAATAAGCACGACCCAGTGACAAATGTTACTTCCCACTCTTTTACTTTAAGTTCCTCAGTTTCGTGCACATACCCTTTCAGTCACACAGTACGACCCGTAAGTTTTAAAGCCAACGGCCACCAAAGGCATCGCCAGAAGTGGCTTAGGCGTTGAAAACACATGCTGGGCGACAACTCTCATACATAACACCCCTATGCTACATTATGCTACATGGGGAATCTAGATTCGCTACAACCTGCCGCATTGAGAACAATGTTGAAACAACTACCAACCCCAACAGGCCGGTTCCCTATACAATGCTCTGCATTGTGGACATCCGCTAGTTGCAAAGAAGATTCCAGTCGCCCAAGGTCGACAAGAACGTCAAAGTACCCGGAACAGCACACGCAGCGTGAAAGGGGTTATCGGCGCCCGAGTGCTTTTGAAGACTCCCATCACCTTTCCGCTCAAAGTAAATGCAGCCTTTGTCATTGGCCAAAGACATCATAAGATCAACCTGGTGCGGCCACGTGCACGGGGTCGCAAAAGAACATCCACAAACATTGAGCTGGTTTCGCGGGTCAGCAAGCAGCTTTCCGCTGCCAACTCTGTTTCTTTTTCATCTAGTTGCGAGCACATGTGTGACTCTGGTTGCTGTGCCAGCAAAGGCGGCCAAATGTCGCAGCGAAATTGAAGAGAAACGTCCCTTCGCCGTACCTGTTTTTTAACCTAGCTTTTCTTGAAGGCTTGTGATTCTAAATAACGCGCATGCTGTCTCATGGGTTGTTGGGCAGTAAAGGCCTAATGCGCAGTAATTCAAGGTTTAATCTTTGGAGAGGCCTCCAACTGCTTTGATTCCGTTGAAGATATCCGATTATATGTGGCATACTTGCAGCGCCACCGCCACGCCTATAACTGCGCAAACTGCTCCTCCGACCATCGGAGCCTAGCCAGAAACTGTCACGCACAAAAGCAGAATAGGTTCTCAACTGTCCCCTTCCTTTTTTTAAACGTCGCTATTATGCACCCTCATCGACACATGTGGCACCCGTACCTTCACCTTCCTCTTCCTCCTCCTTCCTCCTCGTCGCCCTCATCCTCCTGACAACAATAACTCAGTTGCTATTTGCGCCACGTCAACAACAGGTTCAGCATTCACGACGAACTCTTCACAACGATTCACGACAACTTGTACACCCGGAGCAAACCTGTGGAGCTCGACACTTGTATCGCCGATACCCATCTTGTTGGGTTCTCTGTCGACCTTGATGCGCGCGGAGTCAAATGTATCCAACCACATCATGGATGGCAAGTGCGTAATCACTTCTCAGCAGGATCCCTCAGACTTTGGACTATCCAGCAAAGCTCACGTCATCCGAACGTAGACCTACCCACCGCATTGGATCCCTGACTCCATCACTCATGATTGACTCCACCACCTGTCTGCCCACCCTATGCCGGAAAAGAGGGTCCACTGCCCACTGCACCAGAGCTTTCCTCCCACTGCAAGATCATTCAACTGACAGACCGTTGTGCTCATGATATGTGTATGCATGCTTTCCTTACCGTGGATATGGATTGTGCACATGCAGTTTCTCAGGGGCTCGGTTTTGTGTGTGTGTGTGTGTCTGTGCCCCATCCTGTTTCCAACAAACCTTTACACATTCATGACCAGCAGTTTGTAATTCGATACCAAACAATACTTGCATGGAGCAACGCAAGGGGCACATGTGTGATACTGGTTGCTGTGCCAGCGAAGGCGGTCAACTATCAGAGTGAAAACGAAGAAGAGAGACGTCTCAGGGCTTGTGATTCCAAATAACGCTCATTCTGTCTCGTTGTTGGGCTAATGCACTAGACATTGCAATGACCAGATTCAAGGGCAATTGGCAATTACCCTGAATTCTCAGTGCCTATGGCTCCTTCCGAGCTCATTCGTAAGTGTGCGGTCTTGAATTAGACCAACAACCAAGAGCGCAAAGACCCTGTCCAGTTCTCTTTAGCCATGTTCTCAAACACAACAACTTGTGCCCAAATGTGCAAAACAGCAAAAACGCCTACAGTATTACATATGTTTAGTCGTGTTAAAGGGCCCACATGTGCAAGAGAAAAGGGCTTCGGTCGAGAAACATCCCCATCTCCATCAAAGTCCACTGCAAAGAAATCGCGAGCCATGGGCACGGGAAGCAGCCGAGCATGGAAAGTTCCATTGGAGAGTTGCTCTTGCAAACAGAGTTTGTTGCCCTCAAGCTTCAGAATGTCCACATCTCCATCTCCGTCCCAATCCAAGAAAGTCGGGAAGCCTACTAGAAACGCGGAAGCTCCGAAACCTTCCCGAAAGCCTTCCAACATCAAAGTGCTCTCAGCCGGCATGAAGACAAAGTCGGAACCAACCCTTCGGCACACGATGGGCTTGACATTGGAGCCAAAGCCAAGCAAATCCAGCAAACCATCGCCATCAAAGTCAGTCATGCTGAAATAGTGTCGCCAGGCAATAGGGCATGAATAGTTGGAAGGCGGCTCACTGATCTCAATCACTTTTCCATCGCTTTGATGCTCGAAGAAACGCGAGGATTTTGGGTGAATCAATGCCAAGTCCAAGTCTCCATCCATGTCCCAGTCGGCTAGAATCGGCTTGAAATTGTTTTCTACATACCTTGGCTCGCGCATGGCGGTTGCGTTAGTCTAGCCGTTTCCACACACCCCAAAATGTGCAGAAAAGAAACCCGTGGTCAACCACATTGCCCAGGTCAATCTCACTGAGGTAAAAGGAGCTTGAGGTCTGAGTTCGGGCAGGCTCTTCCAAGAAATGGTTGCCATTAACAACCTTCCAGGAGCGATCATTCAAGATCTATCACGATTTCACTGTCTGATAAGTTCCTTTCAAATAAAGCTGATACTCGAGCGGGAAATTTGCTTGGAACGCTGCTGAGAATGTCGATCCTGATTCGCCAAGACCGCCTTTACACATTGCCCTTGTTTGGCAGCTTACGACCCAGCGGAGCTTGTGATGTGTTGAACCGCTTTCACGAAAAACTAGTGAGGTATTTACCAGATCCTTTGCGCACTTCTAGGGCCATCGGCCGTTGGTCGAGCGAATTTGGGGATCGCTTATGATCGCTTAGTGTTCAAGGCATGGTGAAATGCTACTTCGTCTTGCGACCCATCGTTCACTCGGCTATCTCGAACGATCAATGTGGACGTCGACAAAGTTAGTTTGAAATTAGCATGTTGTAAACACAATTTTGATGTTCATTCTGATTTTGCAGTGTTCTGATTTTTTACCGATGTGTGCTCCGCTGCCGGCCTGCGATGCTCTGTAGAGGGTTTGCTGTTGCTCTAGTCCATGGCTGGTTCCTCCGGTTGCAGCCGTGTGTGCTGCTCTGGAAAGGGCCTGCTGCAAAGGCCTGGGAATTCCTTTTCGTCAGAGTGGAGTAGCAAAGGGCACAACACCCAAAGAACAATGACCACAGATTCTGCCAAATTTGGCAAAGATATCCTTCGTAAGAAAACATCAGCGGTTTAGCTGGAATCTGCAAATGGACTTTTTTGTGTCTGCGCCAATGACGTTCTGCGCGTTGGACACAATTGGTAGGGTGGCATGCGTGGGGAGGATTGTTAACATGCGCTGTGGATGTGCAAATGATGCTGCTTGCGTCATTGGCATGTATCTGTGTAGCTTTTGTTGTTTGTGTTCAATTTGTTCGATGTGGACGCATTCACATTGTTAGGTGTATGTTCACGGCCATGAGCCTTTTGCATTATAAGGGTTTCGATGTGCTTTGGCTTGGTCTGATGTGCTTCGCAAGGGTTTGGGTTACTCATGTTTTGGATCTGGAGTTGTCGGAACATGGTGTGAAACAGAACAAAAAAAGGTCTTCTTTGACTTGAGGAATTCTCTGAAATAAGTCCACCGCCCTCCTGAACGCAGGTCATAGATCATTTGTGGCAGCCCGTCAACGGGTTCCTTCGAGCTCAGATCTCCAATTAAATGTGAAATCAAACAAAGCATTGAGATGTGAACCCAGATCTGTCTGTGCGCATGCCGCATTCCTCTGTTTTTAGTCTTCGTCTAAGATTTTATTATGTGGACTTCAGGCGCATTTTGGCCGCGTTGCGATGAAAATAGTGGTGGGCCAAATTCCGCAAGAATAATATCAGGTCCCACCATTCCGCGACAAACATATAGAGAAACCTGACACATCTGTGCGTCTGTGCGTGACCTTGTATTTTGGATACTCGTATCAGTGCGCCCTCAAGCCTTGTGCTCCAAAGCATGGAGCGGAGCATTCATGCTTCCAAAGACCGCATCGAGATCACCATCGCCGTCGATATCAACTAAGGACAAACCTGCTCGTGGCGGGCATGGCAGAACTTATGACAGACCTCTTGGAAAGAATGACTCTCCGACTCACTTTCAACCTTTCTGCAAGCTCGATTCAATGGGATGGGACGCCAGAAGTGAATCTGCTGTAGAATCCCAATATTGGGCGTGCTCATCGCGTAAAGGGTTGAGCTTACCATGGTTTCAGGGACTCCACGGGATTCGGAATTCTCATGAGGTGCTAAAAATGTGATGAAATGAATTGAGCAGGAGGGCGGCATTTGGAAGTTGGAAGTGCTGGCATTCACCCTCCACTTCCAAAAAGCAGCCTGGCACACTCGGGAGATCATTGTTTTTGCCCAGTCCAAATCAAGCTGACATTTACAAATAGGGCTTGTGTCGGCCTGATCCCTTGAAGCCCTTGGACAGCTCGCAGGTTGGGCTCAAATCGAACCATTCCAAGCTCAAACCAGACTCCAGCTGTAGATGCACCAGCACGGAACAAGAAAATCCGCCTTGCGCAATGGTTTGGGTTGGGCTCAGCCGGTTCAATCGTCCGTGGTTGGAGGTTATTGCAACACCTGTGAGGACCCGACCCTTTTGCACATACTTATTTGCGTCTGTTGTTGGAATGGTCGTTACTTTTCAATGTACTGTAGGCATGAGGGAAATCGACAAACTTGCACCCTTTGACGTTTATCGATGTAGAACAATCTATATAGACTTCTCGGTTCCCGGTGACAATGGGGGGATGATTGGTGGTGGGGTGTCAACAGCTGAGCAGGGTAGGAATGCCAGCTGTTTAGATGCATGCTCAGTGTACACATTCCTGGTGTACTGACTGTCTGTTCTTCTATTGGGACCAATGCCCAACAAACAAACTAGATGCGTTTCAGCCCTGAACACGCTTAGCTCATATTCTGACGAACATGCGCGCTGTCGCTTCCTTTTAAACCGGCAAGTGAGGTCTATGACGGTATGGCATGGTGTGAGCCTTCTCATGAACTCTGCGCTAAGAAATTAGAAGGGCAGGCCGGTCAGCGTTTGCATTCAAACGTGCCTGTGTACCACTGGAAGACTTTAGCCATCAGAAGAAGATCCATCCGGCCATCGTCATTCCAATCTGCCAGCAAGGGACGTTGATGAAGTGTTTGGTTCAGGACTGTTTGAAAGGGACTTTCCTGATCATTCACCAGGTGCAGGCTGCCATTCACTTGCTCGAAGTACCTCGTGTCGCTGTGGCTGCTCTCATTTGTGATCAAATCAACTGCCAACTAGTGATCTTAGTGAGCCTCCACTTTGCTTCCAAACTAAGGAAGCCGCGGAAACCGATTGAACGAACACAAGCCCGTCTGACTCGATTGGCAGTGGCTCAGCCAAACCAGCATTTAGAACATCATCCCAACACAAACCTGCCTCATCTTGCTAAGTGCGTAGACCAGCAGCAAGTCCAAGTCTCCATCACCGTCCCAATCCGCAACGGCCAAGTCTCCACAAATATTCCCTCCGGCAATGAAATTGAAGGGGTTCTGAGCTCCGGTGCGTTCTTCCAGGCTGCCCGGCATATTTTCCTGAGTGCGGAATGGGAAAACTCACAGCACTTGGCACGAAGGGGATCAATCGGGATGAATGGGGTATTTAATTTGGTCGGGTGCTGATCTACCTACCAACCAAATACCAATACCAAAACAACGGGCCGATTGGCCGTAAGCGCGCGCCGATGACGATTGAAATTCCCTTGTAAACGGACAAATCATCTTCATTTTGCCCCCCCGACACACAGTATGGCTTCAGCTAAACAACCATTCTTTCTCCACTGCAACGTCCACAGAGAGTTGTTGAGTGCCCAGCGGAACTTACTCTCTTTCCATCTCACATACATAACATGGACATACAAAAACATACATGGGGTTGTGATGTCGATGACAATGTTCTGACATCGATGACAATGTTGGGATGTCGACTTGCCATACAGGATGCACGAAACCATACCATACGTGCGTTACAATGCACGTGAAACCTGATTCTGCTGGGGCACAGCAGCGTCGCGTGCGCGCGTTTAATTACGTGCAATTGGGCCCCAAAACAATTCAGCACCCACACACCAGTGCCAAACTCGCAACTCATAGAATCTCAATGCCTGAAAACCACCTTGACTATGGAGGCCAAAAACAAGAGCCTCACTCAACAGCATCGTGATTTGGCAAACTCAAGTGTGGTCGAAGCAACTCAGCCCAAAAGCTGGAGTACCAGAGTCGCTGCCGAATCACCAACTTCTATTGACTTTAGTTGAAGTGCAAAACACATTCTATAACTAATGCCACACAATATGGCACAGCCCTGCCCCTTCAGCAAATCCATGTATTACGCCATTTGCAGCGGTTTGAGTGCTGCATCTGCATCTGGTCTGCGCTTCATCTGGGGTATCTTCTTGAAGAACAAGAAACTCACCAAACTCAACCCAAATCTGTAGGAGCTTGCAACGGTGGGCTTGCAAAATTGTACCATCATCACTTCCACAACAACGTCATTGGAACCCACCATCATCATCAACTAACATCTGGCAAAAAATGTTGAATACGACTTCTAAACTAGGGCCTCTACGTAGCGCTGAAGACTTTTCTTCAACTGCATTGCAAAGTTGTTCAAACTCCTAGCCTTAAGTGCGGCTTAACCTGAAAGATCCTGAAAGGGGCTCGAAGTGGAAAAGCCTCGGCTTGATTGTCCATATTAGCATACATAGCATATTCCGCGTCGCCAGTCAGCTGCAAAAGACTATGCCAAGGCTCATAGTAGCGGATCCCGTCTACGGATGCCACAAGCACATCAAGGCGCCCGTCGCCATTCCAATCCACCAAGGCTGGGCGACACAAGAAGGGGCTTTCCTTGGGACGGGTGACGCAGAGTCGGAGGGTCACAGTGTGGTCACAACGAAACAATTGAATGGGATCCAATGGGCAATGGATGAGTGGCATGGGACTTCACATGACTCCAGCTATAGCTCAAAGGATCGCAGGTCCGTGATTGGAGAGAGTATGTTTTCAGATTTCTTTAAAACAGATGCCAAAAAGGTAAATAAAAAGGTGAGTTAAAGTTAAAGGCAAAGGCAAATCATTGAAAATCCCAAAGGCGTATAAAAGGCAAATTAAAGGTAAATTAAAAGGCAATCCTTGAACAAAAGTCGCCCACCAAAGAAACACATATGTGCCTTTGTTTTGCTTACTTCAATTTAATTTGCTGTTTTTAGTACGTACCTTTTCTTTGCCTTTTTCTTACCTTGTCCATTGCCATTGTTTACCATTGTTTTGCCTTTTGGAATTTCAATGCTTTGCTTTTTGTTTGGTGTGCCTTTTCGGTTTACCTTATATTTGCCTTTTTTAATATTGGAATCGGGCCCTGTCCATATCAACGTTTTTAATACAAAACTTTAAAGGTGGTGGCTGTGAGTCAAAGTTCAACACGCCCGGGGAAAAGAAGCGTTGGTGCATCTCTCATGTCGATCCAGGCTGCAAATGTTGACCTACACCCAGGTGTAACTTTGGTCACCCATCATGACATAGCAACACCTGTAGCTAGGTCTAGACTAGCTTCCCATCATGTCGGAGACAACCGACGGAACTGGGATTTCCGAGTGGGGGTCAGCTGGGTTCAGCACAAAAGAACGTGGTCAGATCATACCGGATCCCACGTCCGCAACATCTTAGCCAAGCTACAACATCCTTGAAGGGATTTGGCTCCAGCTGCACAAACTCGCCATCTGGCCTAACACGTGCGAAGGAGCATGGGCTGTTTCACGTACCTTCAGGAGCATGGAATCGCCTTGCAATCGGTGCCTCGTCCCATTCGTAAGAGACTCGCTGAGTGGGCCTGTGGATATCTTGATTGATAGAACAAAGGGTGAGCTGCTTCGTCTAGACAGCAAACAACAGCACCGTAGATGGTACTCCAATTTCTCAAATACTACAAGGGGGGCAGCTTTCCAGGAATTACAGTATGTGAATCACTCTGTGAAAACTGTAGGTTTGGGCCCAGCACAAAAGCACAAAGTCTGCTACACAATCCTTTTTCTCTCAATGGATAGACGGATAGACCAAACTCAACAAAGATGGTGTGCTACCAGCAAGAAAAAAAACAAAAAACACTTCATATTGTAAGTTCACTAGTTTGGGAGTTTTGGAGACCTCCTGGATCTTTGAGAAGCATCCGGGACAGGACCCCTCAAATCCCAACTGAATGCAACACCGAATGGTAGCAGTAGCAGCTTTGAACATGAAGCTCACAAAGTCTGCTTTGTATAGTCTCTGGGCTTGTTGAGAGTTCCTAATATCAATCCTGAGCCGGTGAGGCTTATGGAAGATTGTGTTTCGTTTGTGCGCCTCATTTCAAAATACTTGAGCTCGTCTTGCGTTCTCACGAGCAGGTCCCAATCACCATCGCGGTCCCAATCCACCACAATGGGCTCCTCATCAAAGTCCGTCTTGACCCGTGACCTCGTCGTGGCTCAGCGCCCAGTCGCGGCGGTCGCCCAATCACTCAACGGATCTCTCGCTCGGTCCCGTTTTAGTGTTTCCCACTTAACAAGTGGTGCAACAACAACATCTCACCAGTGGCACGGTGCTGCCATGTCAGCAACTCTCGAAAGGCCACCGATGCATCCAGTGTCACATGTGCTGGGGGCGAACTCAATTTCCACCATAGTCACCACGGTTTTGGGAGTGTGCATGTCACCAAACACCATTTCACCAAATGGCTAGATGCATCTAGACGCAAATTTCGGGCTAAGGACCTCAAATTGGAGACTCCACCATTCCAAGGCAGCACTTTTCGCACACTCCACCTGGCTTACCTCCCTCTCATCGACCCTCTCTCACCTCTTGCCACCCTCCAAACGCACAATAGGATATCTAACTCGCCTGGGATGCCCATATTGATCGCATGGTTTTGGACTGGCTTTTGAACGGCAAGGATGTGAGGTGTTGGGATGGGTCAAGACTCAAGACCTAACACCCGAAACATGGGATCGATGCGAGGACCCGACCCACATCCGAGTTTTCTGCTCAGTGACAGGGCATGGTCAAACGCTTGCACAGCACCTAAGTGAGGTGCCTCTCGCAGCAACTGCCGTGGCTTTCCTCGGCATCCCGTCCGCGCGCTCGTCTCGCACCACATGGCATGGAGCCCGACGGCACGGAGCAGCAGCCAAAGGAAGGGACGCTTCATCGGCAGGCGAAGGAAGGGTTTTGAGGTTTCGCGCTCAGCGCAACCGGTTTTTCGGCGGTGCACGGACGTGTGTCGCCCGTCAAGTGCAAATGGCTCCGGTATGCTCCGGTGATGTATTTGTCCTGTCATGACTCATGACAATGCAGGGACAGCAAAGGATTGGAAAGATCAAATTATGGCAATCCAAGCACAGTCTTCCTTGGAAGCACAGTTAGCAACACCACCTCATGCTGTAGCAGCAATCGCTGCATCTACTACCGCCATGAAAAACAAAAAATTATACTGACATTTGCTCAGCTCAATCTTGCAGAATCCTTTTCATTCAAGTTCTTTCTCTGTGGTCCAGCCGCTCAAGAGCACAAACACCAGGATCTTTGGCATTCGAAACCTTGGCAAAAAGGAAATGTGACATCTGAAATGCAGAGTCAGAAGTGGATTTGCGGCTGATAAGAGCGCATAAGAGAAGTGAATGATTGACCAAGAACCAGGTCGAGTCCCGCGTCCTGCCTCTTGTGAACTATCCCCTTGATTACACCAGAAACATGGTCCCGCAATGAATTGGTATCTGACAATGTTGAACTCTTTTGTGGGAAGGTCTTTGGCGAAGAGCTTGCTCAGCAACTTCTGGCTTCCTAAGGCCTAAGGCGCGGCGGAGATCAGGAACTGCGGGAAGTTCACACGGAAGGACCCCGCCTTCGAACGGCATGGAGTCCACGAAGGTGCCGGTTCGGCGGACCCGCGGCAAAGCCCTTTCCAGCAAGACAAGGGTCGGTGATGGTTGAGTTTGGGGATCTTAGGAATCGCTGGATAGCCGCTTGGTATCGCTTGGTAGTATTGATTTGATGACAGTATATAGGATCAGCAGCCATCCAATTGGTGCAGTTTGAGGATTTCTACCCATCAACCACCAAAGTTCAATAGTCAACATGGTGAGCAAACAATGTTCATGACAGACTACTGACCACTGAAATTTCTGAAATTCAGGGACTGTCACTGATCTGAGCGGTGTTCCGGTCAGCTATCAATGCGCTGACCTGAGCTATCACAGCTCAGTTGGGTGGCTTCCGGGTTCCCAGTGGCCCCGACGGAAGCAAGACATATCATCTCACCGTGCTAACCGTGGGACTCATTCTGCTCTCCAACGGTGCGAACTCTGCGTTTCAAATATCCCCATTTTTTCGGGTTGAGGGCGTCCGTCTAAGCCTGCTCGACACGGATGCGGGTTGCACCGAAACAACGAATCAAAAAAGAACAACTGCAAAGGGATCTCAGTTGGACCGTCCAAGTTTGACCCATGGAAGGATTGGCTTCATTCAGGAACCTATGTAACATAGGAGGTAGAAAAGCTATTGTATACACGAGAGAACATACAGTAAGTTGTTCCACACTCTTCCTACCTTCCCTGCCACGCACCGCCACGCACAGATGAGAAAGGAACTCCCCCTGCATGCAGCCTGCAGAAAACTAACACGAACATGTTTGACAATTCCTTCTACCTGATGCACCATGATGATCCCTGATGTACCACACCTGCCTGCCCCCTACGATCGACCCCATCGACTTCTCAGCGCGCCGTCCAGGTGGCTAAGGCCAAAGGGATCGGCAGTAGGGCCTCGAGGAGCGCCATCGCACACCGGAACGGTCCGGTCTGTGAGGGTTAGCCCCGTGGTGTGTTGGCCTCCCCAGCAAAAACTCCCTATCATCAGCAAGCCCATAGCCCCGTGAATTTCTGTGATCGGTCCTTTAGAATGGCTGGGGGGTGCTTGGAGCATCGGTGTACGATCTTGATTCAAACTGGACTTACAGTACCTCGTCCCAATACTGAAAGGGAAAGTCCCCTGATGGTCGGCATGACGTGATGAGCCACTATCAGAACAATAAGCAGAGATAAGCAGAGGCTCGCTGTTGGTCTGGCTCGCTACTTAGTCTGAATTTTACCCACTAACTGGTTGCTTATTTTTTATGAACACATGAGTGAGCCAAGTTTTGTACCGACCAATCCCCTTTGGCCCTTGATGGTCGATGTCTCCCACTGCCACCCAGCAGCCGCAATGGCCACGCCCAGCGCGCCCTTCCGCTGCATGAGATCTGGCCTCAGCGTTTAGAGTGGGGGAGGACCGGATTGACAAAGGTTGTCCAACAGCTCTGAAGATCACATGTTCAACACCTCAAGATATGTCCAACCATTCTCTTTGATGTGGAAGGTGTACCTCGGCTGGTGATGCCGAAACCAGTGAAGATGGAGGAAAATAACTCAGCACTCAAGACGGCCTACAAACAAAGTTCTTGCAAGCAGTGGACGCGTTCGACATTGGAATAGAAATCCTCCCAGGAAACTCGATGAGACTTTCGTGAGCCACAACTCTTCCTGCCTTCTCATCTGACAAACAGCTTGGTGATAGAAAAGGACTCCCTGGGGGCCGGACTTCATGGCCTTACACTCCGCCTCCTTTACCAAACTAAGTGAAAAGAGCCCCCATTCAAGGCCACCGCACAGGAAGCACTTTCGAGGAAGTTCTGAGACACAAGTGACCACAGAACTTCCTCATCATCGATCTTCTGCTACCGGGGCCCCGGGCAGCCACGGCTGCGACTCGGCCAGACGCTGAAGGCCCTGCTGGAAGCACGAGGTCTTAGCCAAGCTGAAGCCTCACGTGTGGAGCTTTGGAGCTACAAAGAAGGAGCTTTACCTGCTTTGGACGATGTGACAAAGAAGCTGAGGGCACCAGGTTGAGAAGTTTGTTTTGCTTTGGTGGACGTGCATTCTAACCCATCTAAATGTGTCATCAGGATATTGCTGGATCAAACCGTTTCTTCTAACATGTCCTGTCAATGAGACGTCCCATGACCGCACCTTTTCCAATCGCTTCACACCACGCGTTCCTTCCCTAACTGGCACGGCTCAGCCAGATTCCGCACTCTAAACGAGTCGCAGGTGCTAGCAAACCAGCGAAGCCTCCTATTGTATGTCCTATGAAGTCGGTCCTTTTCTAAAGGATTGCAATCAAACGCGACAGAGAAAACCATATGCAAATAATTGCAAATATACGCAAGTACAAACGTAACATGTCATGACAAGATTTAACACACGTGCCTTGGGGAAAGCAGGATAACATGGAATGGACCAACAATGCATGTGCTGTGTATACAAGGGTAACAGGCCACAAAGCGCGAAGAACAACGAACGTCTCTAATGGGGTGATAAAGCACCACCCTGCCAGGCATTTAGTAATCTTCGATTTCAATCGTATGCCTCTTGCAAGGACTCAGCTTCACGCTGTCCCTCCTGATTTGGAAGGCCTGCCCATTGAATGTTTTCATGATCGGCAAATGGCGATTTCGAGCAAAGTCCTTCATTGCGTTGAAAAACTTGTTGCGGCTGCAACCACGGTCAGCTTTGCTAAGAATCTTTGCCTTCTCGAGTATTGTCCCCACTTCAAGTCTCAACGCTTCTTGAGAAGTCATCATTTGCCATGTGCCAGGAGTTATGTGGGAACAGAAGGCCGTGTTGAGATGGTCAATCATGCATTGGCCTTTGTACATAGTATCAGGAAGGATGCCAAACTTTCTCAACACCTTCTTGTTTTCTGCTGCGTTTACAAAGCAACGCAGGGCTTCGGTCAAGTTGGCATTCAAGTCATCATCCAAATATCCGAGCCTCTTTAACACCTGAGTTGCCAAGTCAGCCGATTTCTTCAGTATGAAAGGACCGCCGCCTTGATAGACGGCACATGCTGCCGAAGAGCCATACTTCAAGACTCTTGTGTCTCTCTTCTTACCCTTGTTGGAGATAGGCAAAATGTAGGCCAATTCCCCAGAATATCGCTCCCAACCTCTGGTCCCATGACTTCGCACAAGATCACTCAAAGAAATTGTAGCAAGCTGAGAAGGAAAAACTACCAGCGAACCCAAGCTGTTAGCAAACCAGAATTTGGCTGCGGCTTGGATGGTAAATCCTGTACCATCTCTATAGCCAAAATCCTCCAGAAACTTCATGACTTCTAGCGACTTTTCTTTCTGCTCGAAGCTAGTCCAAGGATCCGCAAGCTCCACAGAGCCGTCCCCTGTATCATGGAGGATGGCTCTGACTCGAGATGATCTCCGTTCCGGGGCGTTCAATGTGAATGTCTTCACTCCAGCAGCCTTATACTTTCCACTCACACTATGCATTAGCGCGCACACAAGTACACAAATGTGTGTTCCGCTTGCTTGGAGATCAAGGGTGGCGGGAATGAAATCAGTGTCTCTGGTCAGGAGGGCTATGCAATAAAGACCAGGTCGGCCAGAAAGCTTGCGCATGAAGCATTCAATGGCCTCATCGTTTGGATCCGCCTCGTTCGGGCTCAAGCACGAAGAACAGGCAAGTCATGATGGCACTGCTGAGTTATACAGGGCATTCCGACCTGTATTAATCTTTTGCGTTTGGCAATGCTAAATCATACATTTCTCAGCATTGAACAAGGCAACATAAGGCAACGATGGATGTCTGAAAACAATCCCCCCGGCCTTCTGGTATCGCCCCACAGCCTCGAAGCTCACATTCGGTTTCAGCAGGAACTCAGTCCAGTTTCTGTTTTCCCTCCGTTCGGGTTCAGCGAAGATAGTGGTCTTCACAGCGTGACCTTGTGCTTCTAGCAAGCTGATGGCCTGCTCGATCTCTTCCTCGATTTGCTAAAGACTGCGTGGACAAGGTACGAAAATTAGGTAAGTTTTGTGTTGCACAATGACTGGGTGTTTTTCACGTCTGGGTTTGATATAATATATATATATATAATGTGGCTTCCATTTCCTTTGCATGGTATAGCTTGGAATGATGACGTTTGCTGATTGTGTTAGTTGCCCGAGTGATTGTATCTACATACGCACCTTCCACAGCCAGCAAACCAAATTCAATCAAGGCGTCAATGCTGCTCGAATCCGCATCTACTAGAAGCTCGGTCCTGCATCCACGATCTGTCACTGCTCATTTGCAACTAAGAACAACCGGTCCCACTCAACATACTGGTATTAACGACATATGAAATGTAGAATCAACGAGCTGAATTGACATTGTCAAGTTATATAATTACGTATGCAATGATTCTCCAAAAGTGATCCTTAGTTAAAATCAATACTTTTGGGGTTATGCACAATTCCATTGCACCCTCCGTTTGGCTGAGCTCCCCCCCCAAAAAAACTGTGCAAACTTTACAAGACTCGTACGAGTTGTAAGTTTTCACTTGCCTTCGTGAACGGTAGCACAACGTGCAGAACAAACAGGGTTTTGGTACAACTGCACTTGACTAGCCTGAATTACGATGACATTCAGCAATTCAGCAAGAAACAAATTTGCTGGATTTTGTTCAAAAGCAATGAAACTACCCAAAACCCGTGACTGACCAATCAGCTCCTTGATGATGCACGGCGGGACGACCAAGCTCTGGGCGGTCTATGCTGTAAACCACAAAAGAAGGCGAGGAACGCCGTAGGCCCCAAGCTGCTCCAAGTTCTGGGAGGGCAAACATAATGGTTTCTGAGCACCGATGAAAGTTGCTACCTGTTTGGGAGGCATGTGTGTGTGTGTGTCCCACCCTGGACAAAGGGTCTTACCCCACCACTTTTCCACAGGCAGGGGGGCAATGCACGACTGACAGACATTGCCCAACGAAGACGCTGTCAGCTCGTGGTGAAGCAATGCGGGACGCCGCATTGTGTACCTGCCAGTTCGGAACTGTTGCACACGCTGTCTACTCCTTTGGTTTGTTTCATGGTGGTTCCACATGATACTTTCCCCACAAACAGGTTTCCCACTGCACAGCAGCTGCTGACCGCCACCTCCATTTGCGCTTGTCGTGAAACCTGTGTTAAACAATACACTTTCGGCTGACCTTTCCACCTTGCCGTTCCATCGCCTTTTTCCCATTGAGACAATTGCGTTAACTGAAAATCCAAGTTCGAAGTGTGTCCTGCTCAGCCGTCCCACTCGGGCGCTGAGTGTGATCCCCGTCACAGGGGCGCCGTTCTTGCATGGGAAAGCAACCACCCCAACGCACCACCGCTCACTGGAACTTCACAGGAAGGCACCGACACCCTCACAGAATCAACCGCCACACCGGCCGCCGGGCCAAAAAACGGTTCTTGAAGAATCCTTCAGATTCAGAACTTCTGATCTCCGTTTTCAGCATTCAGTTTTCTTTTCATGGTTTCCAATCATGTGCGTGTTTCTATGTTCGTTATGTTGCTGCCGCGATTCTTTCATCGACAGCACTCAAGGATGGGCATTACAACTCTTCAGCTTAATTCGAGATGCATGAACACACACCTACCAACAAGCTTACATTTAGCACCACCTTACCACATACTCACCACCGACACCGGAGATGACACCTTCAACAACAACAAGACAATACAACTCGGCACTTCTCCGCTGCTTTTTGCTGCCGCGCCGCGCCGCGCCATAGCTACGACCACGACATGCATTTTCCGTGGCCCTACGCTCACACCACGCCACCACCACTACCTACCACACAACCTCAACCCACATGGCCGATGCCACAACCACCAACTGCACCCACTTTTCCCTCGACACAACCATCGGCATACCCTCACCCACAACCACAACCATTTCAACCACCACCGTTTTTGTCCACCCCTACCGCCACTGCACTGACCTACGGCACACCATCCACTTGGACTTTTGTCCCACCATGTCACGTGCCACCGCAACCCACACATCCAGCTCCAGTGTTTCCGACAGCAGCACCTCCCCCGTCCTACCTGCTGCCACCACCTCATCCCACACCACCGGCTGAACTTCCTCCCCCCACTACACTGACACATCCCCCTCCAACACAGCAACAGACTGCGATTGCCAATTATCCATCCACAGACCCCCAATGCGCCATCCCCCAGGGCGTTTGGCAACCCTATTCAGCTTTTCCCCCCGTCACACAGCCTCCACTCCAACCGGTGCCCCCGCCAACCCAACCTCCACCTCAACAGCAGCTACCATCGGATCCAACACCACCGATCCAACCCATCCCCACGACTGCCCAGGACAATCCATTACCAGTCCAAAACACACCTCCACCAGCTACCGTATCCCCACATTCAGCATCCCCATCGCTGGTATCTGCCACACCAGCACCTGGAACTTCACTACCAGCACCAGACAAACCTGACACCACTGCCTCACCAGCACCACAACCACCTTCCCCACAACCACCACACAGCAGTCGCCGCCACCACCACAAGAGCCGACGCAAGTCCGACCATCACCACAGAGGACGCCACCGCCACCGCCGCCGACATCGCCATCACCGCCACTCCAAACACCACAGCACAACCCGGCGACGGCGGTCGCCTTCAACATCCACCTATACACATCTAGCCTTACGCCATCCCGCAGTCGTTCGCCACCACAACCCATTGATCTACGCCCTAACACCGAATACACCAACCCGGACCCCTCTCAATATCCCACCACAGCCGTCATCCGTCGCCCAATCAACCGTTGGCGACCTCCACCCAACTTTCACACCTTTACACCTGCAGACCAAATCCTGGAATGGCTCGAATTCCACGCCACCCAACTCGACAATCCCAACCGACCACAACACCAGTACATTGCCAATATCCTCACAGACTGCAACATCACCTACAAGGAGATC